TATTTTGACACGCATCCATCTTATACCCTAATGACCTCCAGACGACCTTTTTGACGCTATTCCCAATTTAGAGACCCCATTCTAGATTTGAATGCCGAGTTTACTGCACAACCACCCCACACAAGTTGTTCATGTACAGGGCTATCCATGGGACGAAATACGACGTCGCGATGGCATATGCATAGTTCACCGTCCCTCTACTGTTTCATGAACGAGCGTGGCACATGCGTTTAGAACGCCACCTCAGACCGTTGAATTTGTGTCAGAGCTCCCAAGTCCAGCCAGCCCATCGTACTGCTTGCTCGTGTTGCCCACCAGACTAATACTCCGTACACCAATGTACATAAAACCTTGCCGTGAACCCGATGCAGAGTGCACTACCAATTGGAGAAAAATCCAACAAATTTCCTTTCTTCGAAAAATTGCCTGGCTATGTATGCCCGGACGCCTGCCGAAAAATTAGGAAATTTTTCTCTGAGTGAACCACGAATGGATGCTCGACTTTGAGTTTGCACGGACAAGGACAACGCGATCAGTTTTCGTGTACTCATCCAAAACGTTTTTTAAATTCCAAACGGGAGAAAACACCTAAACAAACAAGTACTCTAGAAACTCTCCAACTGTTAACGCGGAGGCGTTGAAGTGTGGCAGTCGATATAATATGAATTCCGCGCTCAAACCAACCCTGAGTAGGCTTAGCGAACCTTTAGCAAAATTGCTACCCTCTGGGGAGATTTTATTTCCAAATGAAAATAGTCGGAAATGGAGACATCATGTAAGGTGTCCTTCTTTCAAGCCATAGTTTAGGAGAAATTAGGGTGTACATATAGGGATCGGCATTCTGAGAAACCACGAAAATTTGTAACTTAGGATGCCAAGGAGTCAGCGGAAGTGAACATTTAGAAGGGTACAGCGACGGCACACGCTGGTTCTGAAGCGAGCAAATATGGAACTTAGTATTTTTGGCACATAGAGCACGCATTCGCACAAGTTGGGTGGCGAGGGAGAGAAGATGGGAGCGGGACATAAACGTGCGCGTAATGAAGCCGAAACGGCAGGCAAAAGTCAAGAACAGTATGGAAATATGTCAATGTCACACGAGAGGAAGTACAAGCGGTCTACTGCATCCTGTCTAGGGCCCGTGGTGGTTCATCGGAGTACCTATCGTAGGGAGGGTGACAGAGATTCACAAGTTAGGTCATGCGATGAACACCTCTTCGCGAGTACAGCCTAATATCAACTAGGTTTCACGTTAAATACACGAGCTTCACCCAAATGGGATCTTGAGTACGCTGGAAAATCTGTTTTACCCGGCGTTTTGTCAGTCGTTTGACGAAGGCTGCCTTCCCTCTGCTTTGAAGAAAACGATTGTCACCCCAATCCACAAAACTGGGGACCGAATATCGCCAGGCGGCTACAGTTCTATGCGCCTCACTAGCATGCCGTGCAAGGTGATGGAACGCACTCTAAACCGAGCTATCCTGGACCACCTTACTTCCAGCAACCTGCTATCTCCAGCTGCACGCGGAATTCTCCCAATCCGTTCTTGCGTTCCTCGTGTTTATCGGCAGCTCAACCCAGACTAAGGAGGAGCGCATCATATCGGATGCCACATTTTTCGCCTTCTCAAAGGCATTTGCTAGGGTCCCACACGTCTTGCTGCTCCACGAACTCGAATCTTACGGGGCCTACTTCAGACCGCTACTTGAATATGCCACCCAAGTTGTCTACTGAGGACGCACGAAATACGTAACACTCATTGAGCCGGTCTCAAATCCGTGGACTACGAAACGCATCTCACGTTTCTTGACCTCTTTACCCTGGAGGATCGTCGCCTCCGAGGGTACCTTATTCTAACTTATGGCCTGTTTGAAGAACGCTTGACCGACAGCTTTTTCACCCTTGACCCAGCAAAAACGCTGCGGGGACATGGTAAGAAAACTTTCAGGCACAGAGTGCACACATTCATGAGGCAATTTTTTTCTCATTTTGGAGTGTAGCTTCGTGGAATGACCTTCCTCCAACGGTTGTCCACGCTCTTTCCAGATGCCAGTTCAAAGCACCATTCGGCATTTATTTATGCGAATCCTCGCTCTGGCAAGCATACTGTCCCGCTTTGAGAACGTAAAGAGCAGTGCTACACCCTTTTTTCACTTGTGCCTTTCAGGTGAACGACAGTCACTGAACGACAAGAATTAAATTGACCCGGAAATCTTGGGCAGAGTCTCGAACCTGTGTATCAATCCTTTAATCCGTGGATGACAACTTCGCCGAAGGGCCTAATGTTTCGAATATATGCCGATGAATGCGAAAACATTATGTGAATGTTTCCCTCGTTCGAAATCTGGTTTTGAAGAATTCCTGGGTGTCCGCCTAAGGCTCGGCCTCTGGACGCTTAATGCTCGTTTAATTGCGTGGATTTGCTACTTCACTTTTTCTGAAATTTTGACCTCAAGGTCATTTGAGGGGGGCTGCGGCTGCCTAACAGCAACATAATGCTCTTGGCTGCAAAAGCTTTACGAGTGGAGTGAAACTTTTTGCGCCAAAATGTTGCATTTTGTTGCGTATGTGCTCAAACCAGAAACCCTCCTATTATGCCCTCGTATTTTTTCAGCTCACCAATATTATTACTGCAACCTCGTAAAGAAGTTCTTGTTGGTTTGCCCCATGCAAATTGGACTTGCACGATGAATACCTCATTTGTGGCTATATAGTTACGCATAGTCGCCGGATGTCGTTTTAGGTATCACTGACTTGTGTCAGTTGACAATTTACAACACTCGTGCTGCATGCATGGGGAAACCGCGAAAGCGACCGGGGTTATAGCTTAAAAAAATTACACCTTAGGCGAAGGCGGATTGCAACTGGAACAATCACCTGAAAAAGCTGTTGCAGCTGTTACCGGCGCTGCGCGTCTTAAAGAGTCAACACGGTTCGCATAGGTACTAGGCCAGTGCAAGTACTATGGATTATTGATAATCTTTAGAAAACCGTATAATTCACAAATCTGTGAGACAATTTAAGTCGTCTCTGAATTCGTTGCCGGCAAAAAATTTAATTCAGTTCTTTTTACCCGGTGGGCTCCTCGAGTGAAATGATCGTCCTCCCTGCACTGACACGCGATTTTTGGAACCGACCTCTTCGAACGATCTTTGCAGGCTAGAGGACGCGTAATGCACCAAGCGCTGAAAGCCCCTTAGGACAAAAGTATCCGAAAACGGTGTCTGAACGCGTTGTTCTAATACACCGAGCCTATCAAGGCTGTCCCAGTGACATAGACGGTAGTGATTTAGGCACGTCTAAATTCTCTCGTCACTGACTACCCAGGATGGCTACGTCGCACCGGAGGATAACTAACATCGTGGCTTACGCCCACTTCCTGCTTCATCAGCTGTCGTCCATGTTCTTGCCTCCTTTTGATCAGTGTGCATCTTTCCATAAATCCAGAACACCAGATTGATTCATTTGATGTGACCCAATAGTTTCCCGTCTTTATATTCTGTACCCAATTCACAATATGCCTACAGACGACCGTCATGTAACTGAAATCCTATTTGTGGCAGCACGTTAGGTGGGCTGGGATGTTTGATGAGGACTTTTCTTCAAAACTGATCCTGACGATTCGGTTTTCCCTTTGTGTATTGATGGATTGTACTGTAGGCACTTGGCGTGAAATGCAAAGTATGTGGGTTTATAGTACCTTTGAGAGAAGAAGTATCCAGTCTCCTCAAACTTCCAGCCTTCCGTAACCACTTTCTATACGTTCATTTGTTCACCCGTTTCCGATATTACATATCACACAACTCGCTTCTTAGTGAAGATTATCTTGACCCACAGGGCGTGGGTTATTGAATTAGCTAGTTTTCCATGCCCTAGGTGGTCGTTCACTCTATACATCTTCCTTGACTGTTACCAGATATTCCGTAGTATCGGATAAACACTGAGTAAGTATTTGCTGGTGTTTGGTATGATGATTTCAGTTCACTATATCTTTTGGCCAAAAGCCCATGAAGGTGGCCGAACACTCTGACAATGATGTTTCGATTATCTGGGAGCTAGACACAATTGTGTTTAAAACTGCACTACTGACAAAGGCCTTCCCTACCTGAAGTGTCCTTACTGCCTTTTTAGAATCATGGTTAAAATTGGAATCCTTGGCGGAGGAATGGTCGGTTTGTCAGCCGCTGCCGCTCTGAAGGTAGCCCAACGTGCGTGAAAGTTTATTCCTACCCAAGGACACATATAGGGATTCAGATATTGTTGTCATCTCACCCGACAGAGATGATCAACTTGCCAGTTACGGCGCCCCTGGTGGGTTTAGACCAGATCCTTCCTGGATGCCTGGTTTTGCGTGTTGCGCCACTTCCAAAGATGGATGTAGCATCAACTGTCCGCTAGTTCGATGGTGCCACAAATCAAAGGAGCACTTTTGGGCTCTTGCCGCAAGCCAGGATGCTGTGAATGCGGGAATTTTCTTCCAACCAATGCTGGATTTGTATTCTGAAATGCTGTGTCGAATTCCATTTGCTGTCAAACTGTGTGGATCGAGTAAACTTCTGGAAATGGATGAGGTATCCGATTACATTTTCTCATAGAGCTCCGATAGATCCAGTCTCTCGGTTTTTCAAGTTCCATAAAATGGGGATACTCTTTTATAACATGTATGATAGAAGGAAGATATCACATGCCATACCTCCGGGAGAAGTTAGAACACACCTCTCCTCTCCCAGTCATGTTCGAACTAGAATCGTCCTGTCGCAAGGATTCATTGGATGAAGTGCGTAAGTGGGCCAATGACAACCACATTGATGTCGTTGTAAACTGCACTGGACTTGGATCAGCTACCTTGTGCAATGACGATTTGCTGATCCCCGTACGTGGCCGTTTGGTTCGCGTTGCCGCACCGTGGCTAAAATTCGGCATATACAGCGTAAGTTTGCATTTGTACTCCACTTATGTCGTTCATATTCGCGAGTATTTACAATTTTCACCCCATTGTTATGCATTTAGCCAGATCCAAAAGTTTGCATCTGTTATAAGGAGTACTGAACGCGGCTCTCGTTCCTCGTAATGTACATCTTTCTAGATCTGAGCACCAAATCTGACAGATTGGTAATTCTAGAACACTAGGTTTTAGTTGAAGTTAACACCTCGTCTTCCCAGTTCATTGACGTTAATAAAGGATCATTAAAATTGTCGTGAATCACCGGTAAGATGTGGCCGGAGAAACATTTATCGCCTGTTTCATTGTTATTGTTTTGAAATTTTCAGGATGTAACACTTACCCCCGGACACTTGCTACAGCAGCGACAACAGAATGGCGAAAAGCTGACCAAAGATCGTTCGGCAGTTAAGTGGCATTTATCTTATGTGTGACTCAAATAGTGACGCCGTTTGTAATATTCCGCGAATTTGCGTGTCGAGCGGTTATATATGTCCTGGTTCGCAGGGGATGATAAACGTCTATCTATGTGCGAATTCAAGCTGAAGGTTAGTCCTTCCACATCAACTAGAAATGATCCATGGCACCCATTTTGTTTGACGCTGTCCATCCATCATATTTGACTACCGTCGGCACACTGATGCAACTTTCGACAAATGCTCTGGTCGCGGTTAAACCAAGTGGTAAAACTGCTTAATAACTGCGGAGGCGTATTGTTTCATTTTCGGTACATATCCGGAAGGTCGCACAACAACTCTTCTTTAACTTGTTGTTTTACGCTTCTCCGGATAAGCTAGTGAATACTTTCACTTGTTTAATTCTTTTTCACAAACCTTTCACTACCGGTAACCGCGAGTTGTCTCAGTATTTTTGCCGAAACAACCGAGAAATCGGAATCTAGGTTTGTAGGCTGTTGGAGTTCATATGCACCAGGAATGTCCGATTCCTTTCCCGTGTTAGACACTATGGAGACACAGGTGGTGCAGCAGCAGCCCGTCCATTGGAATACTACTCGCTACATTCATGACCGAAGGGGAATGCACACGATTACAAAACATCTTGACCAACATGACGTTTGCTACGCCTATTTTGATGCTATCTTCACTACACACATGGGTTGCATGAATGTTCTGCTTATAGTGGATTCTCTCGATCCGGTGCGCTCGGCAATCAACTTTCCCTGTAACTTGCTTGACTGGCGGGGACTTCTTAGGCGGACTGGATTCAGGCAATATATTTGCGTCGTTCGTTTAGGACGGGGTAATTTAAGTCGGCTGTCTCCTGGCTCTGAGTACCCATAGTAATCCAGAATCCGAGTCATTACTTTGGAAAATGATCATGAAACAGGAACGTGTCTGCTTGGAGGAAGGTCAATGACCGAGATCACAGTGTAAAAAGATATCCTTATGTTACTGGTCTTCTAAAGTGATGATTACGTTCGAGAATATCCGCCGTACGGCCAGTGGTTCACCCTGCCTGTGAACGCACACTTGTGTTGTATTTTAAATGAAACATGAAATGCGAACAGCTGGTCTGAAACGGTCACATGTATGAGTACGATTTTCGCACTCTGATATTAAAGGTTAAAAGTGAAATACAGTGCTCTAGTTTCCAAGATTAATTGTTTTTCCTCTTCTAAACGAGTCAACTTTGGCGAATTTGCGTACATTGCTTTCTCAGATTATGCCTCAGGACATTTGAAGAAGTAGCGGCTGGTGATGCACAACTCAGTTACCATTTTTCCTTTTGAACTGACTTCTAATCACAATCAAAACACAGTTGCCCCTCTCACTCTATAAACGAGCGCCTTCAGGATATCGGAAAGCGTTTGAACTGATGGGATGTACATTCCTAGAATGATATGAAATACCCGGCTTTTGTAAGCCCAAATAATCGTCCAATGTAAAGTAATTATGTTTCAGATCTTATTCAGTAGTTCTGGAAGTTGATCGTACCTTCACCAGTGTAGAGGTGTATTGCAAGTTTTTGGAGTCTTGATGACAGATTGTTGTGGCACGCCTGAGATTTACTTTTTATTCCAGTGGGGCGTTCAAAAAGAGTGCCGTCATTTAACCGATACGGTCGTGACAGCCCTTTACTAAATGCTCCAGAGTGTGAGTTGTACTGTATCTACATCTTTCGCACCATCATTGGTTAGTTCAAGCCGTATGAATCATACCTTGCAGCGTTATGAATAGCGGGTCTTTGTAATGCACTTTAATAACCGAAAATTCATGAAATGGGGTATCTTCAGCCCAGTACAACATCAATCATTCAACGCAACCCGCTGAGTAAATGCCCAAACACTGGCATCGCTTTTCAAACACCATGTTACTTATCACCAAGCTGCCGCTCAAGAACAATGCTCACTGCCTAGAAACGCTTCAATATAGTGGAGACATATAAGTGTCATGGGATGCTCGTGCAACTAAAACAAAGTATATTTCGTTCTTGTACTACATGAGCCTTATCACTGAAGGAATGCGATAAATATGACAGAATAGCTGTCTTCGTTTTACTCGATGAGACTATGGCTCCCAGAAAACCGACTTCATCAAACCCAACAATATAAAACTATCAAGCACCCGAAACCAAGCTTCCACATATTAATCAGGATGGTCAAACTCATGGGCTTAATGGTATCCCCGACACAAGACTGACATACAAAGTACGAGGTGCTTCATCATCATAAGCATCTTTAGGCAGGAGATGGCATTTACAAAAGTAAACAGGCTGAGAATGACGGACAGTTCACGATTAAACTAGGGTAGATGAAATGTTTAGACCAGATGTCGGCTGTTGAAAACGAACGGATTCCGCTGGTGTGGATAGTCTGAATAGATGCCGAAATCCATTCGCCTCTGTTAATGCTATAATTATTCAGTGTCAACTGAGTAAGTAAGTCTGATTTGTTGTTTTTACAGAGGCCGCATGTTGTAATTGGATTAGTCACTTAATGCTAGCATCTACTGGACTCCAGGTAGATGGTAAGCGTAAATATTTACTGAACTGTGGTTTAGTTCGTTTGGCTTAGTAACGGACCTGACGCTGATGTTAATTGACTTCCTTTGAGGCCAATATAGGTGCTCCGTGTTGGTGTTTGCACTGGAGCAAGATGTAGGACAGATACTGTAGTGCAGTGTCCTAAGACTTAACTTACTTATCCCATGTTGAAGCACACTGACCGTCCACCAATGGACTGCTGTCATCAGTTCTTCACACCGGCCCTGATTCTGCTTACCGAACTATGGTCCCTACCATCTGAGAACACTTACAACGGTGTTAGGAAAAAATTGCCATTACTGGCGGACGCCTCAACAAATTCAGTTTCATTGTCTGGTTCGAAAACCTACGGATTTGGTAGATGGGGCTTTACAGACAGATTGTTGCCAATGGCTTCCGGTGTCTACAAGTTAGCATCTGTGTTTTGTCTCGACCACATTGACAACACCATCGATTTCCTGGGATATGGCTATGTTCATGAGTGTTCCTAAAGTCTTTGCTAATTATCCAAATCAGTGTGGTCCGCCTCAGAAAAAATTTAGCAGAAATGGATTTTGGATTTAGGTGTGGGTTCTCGCGCTGGAGACCTCATACTATTCATTTAATATGCTTGCTGAAGCTACCCTCTGGTGAAGCTGTTGAGATTGGACGCCCTAAAGACACTTGTCGGGATTCGATGAGTTTGTGCTCGGACTGGGGTACGAAACTGTCTGCTTGCAGTGGCCAGTACTGACAGGAACACTTCTGTGCTCATACCATAACCACTGAACATCCATAATGGTTGCTGCTATTGGCAAGCGATGTGCTATCAGTGGCGCTGCAATCGTCTCACAATGTGGTTCATTTGGGGTAGCGAAATGTTGCCGGGCTTATCGCCATACTGAGTAAGGCGAACTGTTTACAGTGCAAAAAAATAATTATCAGACTGTCAGTGCGAGCAGCGGTTATTCGGTGGATCGAGGACCAGTTTAATCAGTTATTTTGCTACCGAATCGATATATATATATATATATATATACCAGTGACTGTAGGTTTCGTTAATGCCGTGGTCAGAACTGATAACCCCTGAACCCACACAAAGGTGAGAGTCGATTTATGAGAGCGGGGTCCTTATTACGTTGAAGGCCGTGCTGAGGAGACAGTTGTCATTTTTTTGGAGATTCCATTGTCAACTACCAACAGGGGATGAAGTCGAACTCGGCCCGGAAGAGTGCTTACCGCTCCCTAATGAAAGGAGGAATAAGTTGTGCCATTGGTACACTGCATGTTAGAAGAGACCAAGTTAATCCTAGGGCGCAAGATACGCTCCAGGATAATGTTTTCACACAGCATCTATGCAACCTGAAGTATGATCACTATTCTGAATAAGAAGCGTTTGCTTCTTGCATAACTCTCGCTTAAGAACATCTCAACGACTTCTGCCAATGAGCTCTATGAGCGTTTCATGTTGCGGCTGATTTCACTTCAATATGTTTGAAGTTTTTTGGAGTTGTAAGCGTTCCTTCAGAACATTGTAGTTTTCTACCGGTGAGAATGCTGCTAACTCAGGTAGCATAGAGAACAGTGCGCACCTTCGCTGAGCTTCGTTTTCCGGTTGTAAACAACCTGTTGGTTTAGAATCACGGTGCTGCCTCCTAGAGACATTGTAAGGAAACCTCCGATAGAGGTTGCAAACAGCAGTCAAATTCAAATTGAACCTCTCGTTTTACCGCATGCGTCCTCTCCTTTATAAATGCCTCGTCTATTTGCTTCTGTTCTCAGCCAAATAAGGCACATGCTTATATAGGTCGGGACTCTGTTATTATTGGTGGCTATCGGGAGCCACTTCCCAGTCCCCTTATCCAACCAATACGACCAGAACAAGCTGAGAATTCGCGTGAAGCCACACTGAACATACTTGAACGCATGGGCGAACTTTGGTCCGGTCCTCTTCCAAGTTCCCGGATAGTGGAAGAGTGGACAGGATTCAGGCCTCACCGAGATATATTGCGCCTAGAAGTAAGTCTCACAGCGCCGGTAAATTTCTCGTTGGATGCACTCCGTTTATTGAAGCAAGTGAATCGCTACAACCTCAGCTGGACAAGGGTATTACATTATCCTCCAAAATAAAGTCTACCTTACGCTTCCTGATTCAGTTCTTTTGGGGTGAATCCCATGATGTAGACCAAACTACCTCGAAAAATTACGTCGTTCACGGGTTGTACGCTAATTTTGAACAATTTTGATTTGAGACGCAGGCCATTGTACCGTTGTTTCAAAACGCGGTTGAACTAGTGAACAATTTCAAGTCGAAAATCTCGTTATCAGTGCTCCACACATGTTAAGCCCACCCCTATATTGCGATGTAGCGTTTAGTGTCTGTTTATGTTATTTCCGCTGTCAGTCTTTCGACTCCCGAAGTAACCGATAAGGTTATAGAACATTTAGCTATGGACTACCGGTTTTAATGAACAGTACTATAATCTCATAGTGACCGAATAACGATCGTCAACACCATTATAGATAACGATAAATCTGTGGTAAGTAATGGCTTGCGATCGACATGGAAACGTGAGCAATTTTACCTCGGTAAAAGTGACCATAGGGGGAATGTGGGGACTCTGGTGTTACAGAGTGTTACATTCTTTGAGAAAATGATCTGTATCAAAGTATTTTCATCCTACACGAACTCAGCACACAGATGACGGTGAACGGTAACTGGATCCTCTGTTTAGAGAGGGATAGCATGCTTGCCACTGGATGGTATGGATTACCTGTCAAACCTTCTGTTCTTTCAAACCACGTGCAAGAAAAATCGCGCGGACACTAACCATGAATTTGCAACTACTCCACAGCTGTCAGTGACGGAAACTGTCTTGCTGTCACGTGACCAGATCTTGGCCTCTACCCCGCAAAGTTTCCGGTTTCATTGGTTTGGGTTGGAAAACGGCACTATCCTCCATAGACGATGGTTAAGCGTGCGTGATATGTGCCCAATCTGCCTTTATTTTCTGCTTTAGTGATTCTGATTCACTCCTGTATTCCCACCCCCCAGTGTGGCTGTGGATGGGCCGCAGCCGGCGGATGCCTGCTATGGTACGGAGGCATGGCTGAAACGAAAGTATACTTCTGGTATACATCTTTTTCGCTTGCACGCACTTAAGTCTGTGTATGATGCAGTTTCTGGAAAGATCAGTTATGCGTATGTAGTAAGACATCGACCCTGTATCCCTGGACCTGCTTACTGAGACTGAAGATGACTGTCAAGTGACAACGATATTGTGTATTCTTGCCACTAGTTGGTATCCATTCCAGGTTAGGATATCCTTCGTACTAGAATGAAGTTGATTGAAGTCAGACACTGAGAAAAGGGGCCAAAAAGCGAGAGAGAAACAAGGAGGAAACCGCAGACGTTAAATGTTCACGTATCGAGTGAATCGAGCACTTTTGAGCAACGAACGAAAGTTGTGTTTAAAGTTAGACTCATTCGGTGTTTGTCCCATTATATTTATACTAGGAAACCAACTCATTTCTTTTGAACGCTCTTACAGTGTCTTATGCGACTTTCCAACCACCAGGTTCACTGAAGTTCGGTCCCTCATAGTACACTTGAAAATAGTCCATTCCCTTCGATGGCCATCTTCGGCAAACTTGCTCCACCTAGCTCACTGTAAAATTTTAGGTATTGTCTCCGGCCAGCTCCAGTATAAATGCAGCAGACCAAGTTCGACGACATGAAACAAATTCAGTGGACTCGCTGATCCCACCTTAACTATGAAATTGGTGTGAACGGGAGATTCAAATGAACCTCGAATGCTTATCTGGTCTATTTTATCTTTCAACCGGACGTGAAGTGCAAAGATAGTTTTAGGTTGCCAACTTTTATTTTATCAAAGTGCGCTGTGAAAGTGGTTGAGACTGGAAATCCGGAAGTCCGCTTTAATGTGATCAGGTTTTGATTTGTCTACACCCCGACCTATCCATGGTACTGTATTACATCTGTGAGTTGACCATCAACCAATACATCTAGGTGGTTGACGTACAGTATGTCCACGACCAGCACCTCATTTGTCATACAGCTGTCTCATTCGTTTTCCGTTAGCCGCCTCTTTGTAAGTGTATGTACTTCCTTCACTTTGGCAAGCGGCCGGGTGGTGAGCAATCACTTCGTCTTGGAACGCTGCGTATATTCTTGTGGAAAATTGTTATATGTGGATGGATGCTGGGTGTGTACTATGGAAAGACCTGGGGTATCCTTAAATGCGATGCAAATTTCAACTGTTTGATTGCCTCCACACAGTTCAGAAACCATGGGCCATCGGCACAGCGTTCATGTGATTTTAGAACTCCCGTTCCTCCCTTGGTCTTATATTCTCAGCCGCACACTGGCAACGGACGTTCAGACGACTGCGCACGCTGCTGGGAGCAAATCGCATCTGTCATTGCCTATAATGTGCAGAGATATGTTGGCGTAATTTGTTGTAACATGAAAATCCGTACACTCTACCAGCCTATTGTAAAATCGCAAATAGGACGTTATCCTATGAGTATTTTAGTGGTGGATTTTTTTAAATAGGCTAACT